GGGGAGGTGGGGTGGCAGCGAGGGAGGCAGTGGGCGGCTGCCATGCGGTCAGCACCATTTTGGTCGGGACGGTGGTGTTGGGGTGGCATGGCCACGAGGCTGGAGCCATTCCGGGAGGAGGGGAGAATTGCGGGGGTGGCCGTAGGCTGCGACGCAGCCATGTGGCCGTCACCCTCTCGGCTCTCGGGGGGCGAGCTAAGTTCCCCATGATGTGCGCAGGGTGGAAATAGAGAGGAAATATTCTCCCGTTCGGAACCCGTTCCCGCCCCTTCGGTCCCATGCTGAGTTGCAGGATGCCGTTTGAGTGGGAAGCCGTCCCTGCTTCGTCGCCTGAGCCTGGAGATCTCTGAAAATCCTCTACACTGTAGAAGATTCCTCGTAGGTCTGAATCCATGTAATGGGCGCCAATTAACGGATCTGTATGCTGCTCTCTGCTGGTTTTCCCGGAGCGGTGTTCGGTCTCAGTGTCCCCTTGCGCAGGGGAGAGAAAAACCAAACCTCCCAGTGCGTCCCGTGGCAGAAAGAGGGTTTATTCTTAAAACCGCGCGGTTTATATGGGTTTGTGGGGAGGGTTTTTCTGCTTTGATCGATCCTGGGAAGACACCTCTGTGGTGAGTCTGCTTCTAAAGCTGTTCTTTCCAGCTTTCCTAATCCGGTCGTTCTCCCACATAAATAAACCTAATCTATAACACTAAAATAATTGCCTGTCATCTGAACACAAGTGGAACATTGAGTAGTGAGGCAAAGAAGATGCATTGTAAAATTAATGAATTTAGTCAGGTTTTGATTGATAGGTATTCTGCATTTTGAAATTTTGTCTAAAATAAAAATTTTCCCAAGGCAATTATTTTCTCCAGTTCTACTGGGGTGTTTCTAACCAGAATACTTTTAATTTTTCCCCAACAGTTCTTCAGTTTTTTTCTGACCTTTCTAACTTCACCATTGCAATGAAGACAATTTCTTGCATTCTTGCATTACAATGAGTGCATTTCTTTCCTTTAGAAAGCACAGAAATACAACAATATTTTTCTATGTATTGCCCAATTTTCTAAGAAATGCTGTTTTCTAAATGAGCTTTCACAGTATTTCAACTGCCTTTGGGTTGTAAAGTAGATGTATAGTAATTCAAAATGGCAATGTTTTCAAATCAACCACCATATTAAACATTTTGGAGATGGCAATGACATTCTTTAACTAAAGAGCAGGCTTTTTCCTGTGGATCCAGTAATTTGTAAATGATGACAGGGACAGCCATAGATATTTTTCTTTACATGGAACACCTGCAAGAGCACAACTCATGTCGGTAGCAAGTTCATAGGACAAGGCTAATGCCTTTATTATTTATTCAATGACTCCATGCCAAACAGGCATTTTTCATTCCAGTGTATCTAAAATGGCTATTCAGATAGGACTTTTGATGGGTGATAAAACTGAGAGACAGGCCTCTACTTAGGATGCTAATATAAGCTACAACGAATGATTACAAAACAAACAAACAAACCAATCCAACCTTTTTTCTTAGTAGGGACTTGTACGCATTTATTTTCTTAATAGATTCAGTATCATAAATTGCTGGAACTCCTTCACTTTCAGAAATATAAACCTTATGCATGAGTCAAATCATGGCCATAAAGAGCTATTTTAGCAGGATGTACTGGTTCATTTTAGAAACAAAACTGATGGCCATTTGCTAGCATTTAAAGAGAGAATGAGAACAAAAACAGACTGAAAAACACTCCTACTCACTCCACATGCTTGTTCTCTGTGTCAAAGATTTTGTGTTTGTTGGCAAAAATAAGGATTTTCAAAATCGTGACAGCTAGACTCAGTTTGTCTTGTAAACTGCTCAAAGAATGTGAAATTTAGAAGAGCTTTTATTTGCTTATATATCTTGTTGACAGTACAAAATTGTAATCTATCAATGCACTAAATATTTTGTGGTAATAAAGATAGATATTGGTGTGTGCAAATATAGATCATATTGATATAATTAATTCAAACTCAGACCAATTAAGAAGTGGTTCTGCTCAGAAAATTGAGCAGAATTGGCAAGGGGCGGGGGGGATTAAGTCTTAAATATGGGCTAAATTTTCCAGGAAAAAAAAAAGGATAAAACCGGAAGAAATAGCATTTTTCTCCCTAAATTTAAACAGTGATTTAAGAAAAAAGTTAATCAGTTTCTCACCTATCATTGTTACTCACAGTATGCAAAACAAAATCTGTTATGATTTCTAACTTGGAAAGTGCTTCCACAGGAAATATGCAGTGGTGTGTTACCTGTGTTACCTACTGTCCTAACATGTAGGACTTTTTCAAGCCCTATGGCCCTGTTTTGGTATGCATGGGTAGTTTTGACAAGTCAACAGCCATGTTTAGGAAACAAAGAGAATCTGCCCCATGTCTTTTCATGTGCAATATAGACCAGGTTGAAATATAAGCGCAACAAGAGGTACTCTGCTCCTGTCCTTGAATGAGCTTCCAGGAAGTAACCAAGATGAAGTGGAATGGAGCAACAAAAGCTCGGATGTACATTCATGGTCTGTTCTGAGGTACAGAGGGATGTAAGGCAATAGGGAAGTCAGCAGTGCTACAGGAGCTACAAGCTGCTAGTCTCTGTGTAAAGAATGGATATGAGAGCCAGAGGAATCAAATGAGAGATTTTTTTGTCTGCTCTTCTCAATGGGAATGCCTCTTCTTAAGTTCTGTGGTTCTACATGGCTAGTGAAATATAAACCCCATAAAAGCATTTCTTGTTGTTACTTATGTACACAAATGTGAACCTGAACGTTCCAAAAGAACACAGTTACTGAAAAAAAAAAGCACAGATTTCACATAGATATTTTGTCATAGTACTAGTATACTGCTATTGGGGTTTTTTTTCAATTAAACTGCCTAAAACGGCTACTAACAGTATAAACAATAAAATAAAGTTGGAGTGAAATACTCATTGATGTCAAAACAT